TCGTAAATTCGGGGAGTGAATATATCCATAACCCTGGCAGTACGTGAGGAAGCGCCCGAAATCGCCGATGTAATGAATGAAGCGTCACAAGAACTTACGCGGCTATATGGCAAAGGCACCTGGAGCTACGAAGTGACATCACCAGTGATTAAAAATAATATCGATCGTCATTCGCGGCTTATTGTAGCAAAAAATAATAATCGGGTCATCGCAACACTTCGCCTGACAACAAAAAAGCCATGGGCCATCGATCCTGTTTATTTTACAAAAGTTCAACAGCCCATTTACCTTGTCGATATGGCTGTATCACCTGCTTTACAGCGAAAAGGTCTTGGTACACTCATGATCGGTCATGCCAGGAGTATGGTAGAGCAGTGGCCGGGCAATGCTATCAGGCTGGATGCTTATGAAGGCGAAGCTGGTGCTGTAGGCTTTTACCTGAAATGTGGATTTGTAGAAAAGGGGAGGGTAGTCTTTCGACAGACTGGGCTGGTCTATTTTGAATATCTTTTATAAAAAGGCAGCCTAAAGCGACTCAATATTATTTTGCTTTTGTAAGATAATTTGTTTTTAATTTTCTTTCAGTTAGCATGACCTGCTTTTTAAACACTAAATGATTTATTAAGAGAACTATCGGGATCAGCAGGTAACAAATGCCTGCCAGGCCGGCGATTCCCCAAGAAGCAAGGATTAACGCGGCGGCGCCTATCATTGCATTCCACAAAGCTCCCCTCGTCTCCTTTTTTAATACCAGCAGTTCGAAATGGGATAGTTGCAGTGACTTCGAAAAGTGCTTCGCGCGTTTATGCATGAAATATATTAACGACCAGATCACAAGATAACCAATGCTGAATAGAATGACCAGCGATGGAAAGTCTTTCATTTCAATTACTGTCAGGCTTTTTTCTGTTGCCTTTGGGAAAAAATCGATACCCGTCCATGCCGCCAGCAGCAGAGAGAATAAAAACTTCAATGGATACACATAAAATAAGATTACAGCCAGGTAGGCGAGATTTAAAAGTACAGTAACACGATCGTGAAGCCCAAATCTTCTGAAAAAAGTATGTTGCTGGTACCAGAACAGGAACAGTAATGTGACGGTAGCAAAAAAGGGCAATGCGCCTTTGGCAATAAGTAGTAGTTCGTGAAAAGTTTGGGGCACTTCCAATGAAGCCACCAGCAGTGAAACCGAAAAAGCGAACACAGCATCACTTAGAGCTTCAACACGATGCATTTCCTTACCTCTTTCCAGGAAAGAATGTGATTTAACAGTTGCAAAGATCCTTTTCCTTAACATGTATACTCAGTTTAGTTGAGAACAGTTGAGTACGGCCACCCCTGGAACGACATTTATGCAAGCATCCATAAAATTGACAGATGGCAGGACGCTAATAAATGAGGGCTGTCAGGCATGCCGGTGACAGTAATCAATGGAAAGCCGCGGAACCAATGTCAGAATTATGGCATGATATTTTACTTATGAGGTAAACTGTTGATATGAAACAATTATCCTTGTTCGCGATTGTCGCCTTTATGTTAAGCGTTTTACCAGGGTGCAGCGTCGTGTCTGGTATCTTTAAAGCTGGTATGTGGTGGGCATTTTTCCTTGTGTTTATTGTAATTGCGTTAGTGGTCTGGATAATTACCAAGTCCAGGAGATAAGTTCTTGCGTGGGTAAGAATATCCCTACATCTGTTTTTCGTGTGGATTTTTAGGGAAAGGATGAATATTACCTGTCCGGCTGAAATCATTAGGTTTGCCAAAACAATAGTATGGCGAAGAAGGTCGCTGGTAAAAAGCTATCGGATGAGGAACAGGTGAACCAGTATATGGAACAGTTGGATCATCCGTTGAAGGAAGGGGTGGCGCTACTTCGTCATATCATTAAGGCGACCAGCAGCGATTTGCAGGAAAGAGTAAAATGGAATGCACCCAGCTATTACTGTATTGCTGATATCGTAACCTTTGGCCCCCTGCGTGGAGAAAAAATCCTGCTGGTGTTTCATCATCCGCACATTGTAAAAGTTAAATCGCCATTACTTGAAGGCAAATACCCGGACAGGAGGCTTGCATACTTTGACAGCCTCGCATCGATTAAAGCCAACAAACACGAATTGCAGAGAGTAATTAAGGAAAATCTCAGCGCGATAAAAAAGAAAAAGGCAAAATAGCATTCCGGAACGGAATGTAGTCGGCGGCCTATGGGTATTTTGATTTCAGGTATTTTATCGATTCACTTGCCATTTTCTTTAAAATACCCGTATCGATATCTTCGAGCTTCTTAATGTACACACAACCTTTACCTGCTTTGTGCTTACCCAATTTCTTTAACAACTCGTCTTTCCTTGTTGGTTCATTAGCGATATACAAGCTGATCGCATTAGCCCTGGGTGAGAATCCAACCAATGGCGCATCACCTTCACGACCGCTATCATACTTATAATGATAGCTCCCGAAGCCTACGATCGCTGTTCCCCACATTTTAGGCTCCAGGCCAGTATGCTGCTGAATGATCTCAATAATCTTAAAACTATCCACCTTTT